ACCAAATATGCAATTAAATACGGGGTGTTTCATTTAAAATAGCGATGTTGCCACTGGTTTAGAGTAGAAGCGGCAACACCGCATGAACAAAAATATTTTTAAAGTGTAGATCACGGTCATTTATTCCGGTTGCCAAATTTTCAAAATGATCCGCTTTTTAGTTCTCCATAAACATCTAATACGCCATCCTCCGTGGGACACCCAGTATAATATATCTATGGTGGGTGAGCTAACGAGTACAAGTCAAAATTTTGCGAAAATGAGTTTAAGTCATTTTGGTATATATTTTCGGTTCCTACATCGACTGGTCCAAACAGTATCAGTCAATCTATTTGAAATACTTTACTTTTAATTTCAATCCACATAGTTTAACTTAAAAGGAATTTTATTCTGTTGGGCATATCAGTATAAGTTGAATTGTACTATTTAGATTATACACTATTAATAAAATTCAAATAGTACAAGTAGACTTATACTATTCCTATCCTGATTTTGTCGGTCGACTTATACTCTTAGTACCATTTGGTGACCAAAGAGATTATGTTATCAGCAAAAAAAAAGTGTTTTGTGAAAAAGAGTTGGCCTTCTTTTCCAGTTTTTGCAAATATCAAATTTTGGGTTGAGCAAAACTAGTATAAGTCATTTCTTAGGTCAGGTCAAGATATTATAAGTCATATTATCTTATTTCATAATAATATATGTCATCTATAGGTCTGGTCAAAAGAGTGTAAGTCCATTTTTTTTTGTAATAAAAAAAAACAGAACAGAAAAAAAATAAAAAAATAGATTATCTCTAATAAAAAAACACCTTTGTAAAGTTAAAAATTCGATTCGTCCGAAACAGCCACAAAAAATCCGATTATTTTAAAGTCTAATATTTCGAAAGCATTTTTCTTGATTTGTCTAATTTTGACTTGTACTCTTTAGCCTACTCACCATAGATATAATTATGAATTTTAGCTACAGTACTTCTCAGCGTTCGTCACCATGCGCGACAATGCTCTCACTAAACTTAGGCAAAAGTTTCTCGCTTTCGCCTTGGTCACTTGTAGGAAAAGTTCGAACTAGCACGTGGTTTCCTATTTCGAATTTTTGACCTATGCATCATCGTTTATCAAATCTAGCTTTCCTTTTCGCTTTGTTTTAGGTCGATCTTTTCTTTAGCAGCTTGTCGTATTTCGAACAAGTTTCTTTCCTTGTCAGAATCTAGCTCTACTTCGTTGGCTAGAACTGCATTCGCAACTCCTGTTGCATCATATCCCAAAAATAACTCATAGGGCGTTTTTTCCATAGTTGAATTCCTCGTTGAATTGAAACCTCATCGCACCCTTGATACCGCCTAATCCCATCTATCCTCTCCGTCAGTAGAAGCGGACAGGGAGGCAACAATTGTGCGGTTATAGCGCTCAACTTGTCCGTTAGCTCGCGGCGTAGCGGTAGCATTGAGGACATGTTTAATATTTAGTTCCACGCAGTACTCCCGAAATTGTTTACTCGAGAAACAACTTCCTCGATCGGAGATAATTCGTCGCAGGACACCAAAGTTTTCAATTATACTTTGCAAAAAGTTAATAATCGGTCTAGTCTTCGTCATTTCACCCTGTATTATTTGATACAGTTTCTTAACGAACTAGTTATTTCTGTATACCTATCTTCAGTACACCCTGTATTTCTTGATACAGTTTCTTTATGAAATAGGTATTTCTTTGCACCTATCTCCATTCCACACCGTATTTCTGATACAGTTTCTTTCAAAGCATTTCATTATACCTTTCTAAGTTCCACCCTGTATTTCTTTGTTATACAAGCATGGAAGACAGCAGGAAATATACTTCTTTGTATATCTCCTCATGCCACCAAACCAGTACGATTGTGATATGGCCGACAATGCTTTCTCCATGGACAAATGGCCTCCTCCATCGTGGAAATGTAATAGTATTTGTCTTTTTACGGATATTAGTATGACCCATTTCTTGCCGCGTGGATTCGATACTCTACATCAAAGATATATTTCTGGATACTAAGCCACCACCTAACAATTCGTGGCACTAGTATTATTTGCTTAAAGATACCCTAACGGCACTACAATCGGTTATGACGTTAAATTGAATGCCAATTGAATAAATCCGAAATGCCTTTAAAGTATATACGACTGCCATAGTCTCCAACTCATAAGAATGGTATCTTTGCTCTTCTTTTTTCGTTTGTTTGGAATAATACATAGCTGGCTTCAAGGTACCATTCGCTTGTTGAAATAGATTTTCTCCTATGTTTCATTGGGAAGCATCAGTGTGTAGTACTTCTGTCCGTAATTCCGGATCGTAAATTGTTAGTACAGGTCTCGATACTAAAATTTCTTTAAGAGTATCGAAAGAGTATCTTCATCAGCTGGCAACAGCCTTACAGTTTCTCCACAAACTAAACCGAGAAAAATAAAATGTTGAAATAACCAAAAAAAAATTGATTCAACTCTTTATACACATTAAATACAAGCAACGGTTTTTGGGAGTTCAATTAATCCGCAAAAAACGTCAAAGTACATTGATTGATTGAACAATAAATAGTTGCCCACTGAACAAAATGAGAATAGTTGAAGTAACCTATAAAAATGTATTAATATAACATTCTGAATATGTTAAGTAATATTCCAAAAATATTGAAATAACTTCCATGGAATGTTATCGTAACATTTTCAAAATGTTGAATTAATTTTCTGATAATGTTGATTTAACTTCCTGAAAGTGTTGTGGTATTCTTTTTTTAAATGATAATTCAACGTTCTCAAAGTTTTAATATTACATGTATGTTGAGGTAACTTTCTGTAAACTTTTAGGAAACATTTTTTTGAAGTTGGCATAAGTAATCTTCTTTCAAATGAAAAAAAAAAAAAAAATACTTACTTTAAGAAACATTTTATTAGCAGGTAAAGATAACTTAATAAAAATATAATAAAAAATAACATAATTTCTTCTTAATAAGAGATCTAAAGTAAAAATACTGAGCAAAACAATATTGTACAATAATATGTACTTTGAAAAAGGAAACAAAATAAACATAAAATATTATATACTTAACTGCCTTATAGGAATATATTCATTCGAGAATAAATATAATAAAATTTAAAAAAACATACTTATTTTTCTAAATGAGGAAATCAATAGCAAACACATTAAACGAAATTTAAAACTAGAAAAGACCAACATAACGACATAACATTCTAGTACAATACTTGGGAACAGAAAACAAAACAAACATAAATATTCTTTACTGCCTTATTGTATAATATTCACTTGAGAAGGAACATTTTTTGCTTAAGGACTTGTACAAACGAAGGAAAACTGTCATGCAACTTACTCCATAATACTTTGAATTCTGATTTGATTACTTGAACTACTAACCGCCATGTTTCCTGTAAAGGCGATTGGGTGCTCAGAAGGCCTACTTAAAAAAGGTATTTTAATTACTTCAATAGGTATCTAGATTATTGCTCAAGTACTCCCTACCTAGAGTTCATAAAATGAATACACGACACTAATAAAATTGTATAGATATCGCCAAGATAAGGTATAAAGAAGAGGAAATTGAAATTTGCAGGCAAGAAGAACATGGCACCTACCAGGTTCCAATGATCTACTGCACGCACAATGTCGTCCTGTTGCGCTTCGATCTACCCTCTCGGCGGTAGCGCCTCCTGTCCGAAATTTTCAAATACGGAACTAACATTCAACATTCTAAATGTTGAAATAACCGTTTATAATGTCCATTTAATTAACCAAAAAGTAAAATCAATATATAGAATTTGTTCACTCAACAAATTTCAATTTTCGGATTGATGACAAATAAACGTTATTTTGATAGTTCTTTCAAATTAGCCTAACATTTTTGGTAGTTTAAACAGCAATTCGCAGAGCTCAAATTAAAATAGAATTAACATTTCATTTCGAGTAATAATTTTATATTAAATTAATATTTTAACTGTTAAATTAACAAATAACTTTTGACCAATTTGTGATATTACACTGACAACAAACTTTAGATCATGTCAATAGTTTTTCTGTTGAATTAACATTTTTCAAAATAACACCCATGGAAATGCTGATTTAACCAATTTATTTTTCTCGGTGTATCATGGCTATATGAGGCTGATGCAGAAAAGTCTACCCTACCATAATTGCAACATCTTGGACCTCATTTGGTACTACTTATATCTGAATTTCTGCTTCCGCTCGATCAACTTTTGAATGGGCCTTAGTAGTGCCAACAACATTTATAAGCGACCCTCCATACCCTGAAATGGTTATTGTTGATGGAAAAATCGGTGGTTTAATAATCTGACCACGTCTTCTTCAATAAGAACTGCACTACAGCCCGAATCAACATAGCATTTCAATAAAGTTTCATTTATCCAACAATCAACAAAAATAAATTTTGTCTGTTGAACTGCTATTTGATTTTTAAAAGGCTGTCTATGACAATCTTTCGATAAATGTCATAGGCGTTTACAGCTTGTAGGAGCATTCCATCCTAGGTTTTGGACATTTGTTTGCAGGATGTCCTTCATCCTTACAGTTGTAGCATTTAAATGGTGTAGGTTTTAATTGTTTCGCAGATCTTGGAGCATCAGTTAATACGTTAATGCTCGTTTCGTTGGAACACACCCAAATGCAGTCGTTTATTAACTGGCTTTGAGGTACTAGGTGTTGGTTCTCTGGTGCGAGTGAGGACAGATACTCGGCATATAATTGATCAGGTGTCTCATATCTTCCTGTTCTAGCTCCTGCCTGGATACTTACGTCACGAATACCATCAATGACACATGACACTGCCTTTTTGCCAGTAACTTCACAAGCACTGATTAGCTCCATCTTGTCAAAATAATACCGATCCCATGATTCTTCGCGCAACTTGAATCGCTTTACAAGTGCTCACAGTGTCACAGCGAAGTCTTGATGTTTCAAATATGATTTAATTAAAATGTCTTTCTGTTCAGTCCAAGAAAATTAATATGAGGGTAGATTGTCATACCATCTTCTAGCCAGTCCACCTAGACGATTTTGCATTACAAAAACCATGGTGGTATCGTCCCAATCATTAACAATACCCAACTGCTCAATCTTATCAATCAATTTCGTGGAACTTAAATTTGAGTTTCCTGGGGTAAATATGGGAATACATAAATATCTTTGTAATCTACCAACTTTATCGCCAGTGGGAGGTGGTGTATAACTACGGCTTGTACTTGGCTCTGTGTCGGATTTTGGAAGTTTTGAATTTTTGAGTTTGTTGTTCTGAACACTAGAACGTCTCATTCTTTTACTTCTCTTATAATTTTCATCTGATGAACTAGAGTTACTACTACTAGTAGTACTATTTATAGGTGGCGAACGTCTTCTTCTACCCATTTTATTCAACAATATAATAAATCCAATAAACTAAAATACCACCTATATATCCTATTCACAATCCGATTTCCACAGGTACAGGTAAATTTATCACCTTTCCCTATCAAATAGCATTGAAATGTGATAAATTTTACCTGTACCTGTGGACATCGGATTGTGAATGGATAATACCTATTTGTCAATTTGCTCTAAATGAAATGAGCCTATATTAGCTCAAATAGAATGAAATAAGTAATAAATTCAAAAGAAATAAGAAAACGTTGTGTTGATTTACTTTCCGTTCGCTAAACAACTGCCTTTTTGTTTGAATGATAATAAACGATAAACAATTATTAAATCCTTTACCCTCCTATCGGAATTCGAAAGATAAACCATTTACGTAAACTGGAAACATGAACATATACGAACGAACAAAATTGGGTTTTCTAACTAATAACTATTTAAATAATCACTCCTAATTAAATATAGTATTATTTTTTTCCATTATAACAAAAACAAAATACGATTATTCTAACATTTCGTTAGGTAAAATAAGATAAAATACCTATGAACTAAAGTTTATAGTGAAATTCGAGAAGAAAAGAATAACGAATGATGTTTTATTTGGCTTTTACGTTAGCCAGATTTTATTCTTATACAATGTTCAATACATAGGTACGAATTGAAATCCTTTCCACTCTTGAAGAACTAAATTTGCATGAGAGTAGATCCTTCCTCTGCATCTGTGAACGGTCAATAGTAGCCGAACCGTTGAACTTATAAAAAAAAGTTCTGTATAAAAGTTTTAGCATTTTATCTCTTTTATAACCTAAAACTATTTTCAAGTATACAGGGTGTCACAAAAAAGAGTAATCACAAATTGTAGGTTTTTTTCAAATAGAATACCGTATGTTTTTATGTGGCAAAGGAAGCCTCTATACGCTCTGTATTCAACTTTAAAATTGCATTTGGGTTGAATGCAGTTTTGCCAAGTTATGATTTTTCGAAGAAAAAAATAGACCAAAACATACTTTTCTAAAATTGCCGTATCTCCGCCACTGTTCATTAATTACCTTTAAAAATTTACATATAATCTAATGTTAGCCTAGTTGCTCCTACAATATCTTCATTTTTCGATTTAATTATAAAGGGTGTCCAAAATATTTGTCTAAACACGTCAATTTTAAAGTTCAATTTAATTGAGCTTTTCAAATACAACACCTCGAATATTATTTTTCAGTCGACAAGCTGAAAATCTCCTCTTTCAGAAAATATCATATTTGCCGTATCTATCTAATTAATATTTTGAGATATTAAGATTTTCCTCTAACTTTGCAAAAAAAATGGTAAAAAGTAAAGTAATTTGGTAGTTTTACCTGGAAAGTTGGTAAAGGCCTTTACCCATGACTTCCCTCGGCAAACCACTCCATCCTTTTTTGAATAAACGTCATCATTTAAATGTTTTTTTTTTTTAATTGAAAAATAAAATAAAAATCCTTACTCATTATTTAAAAATAGAAAATTGATGATGACGCACCGAATGCGATACGTCGGATTCAAACTTTCAGTTCCAAATCTTATAGAGCCGATGAACCTAGGGAACGTTCAAATTTTAAAGATTCTTCTCAAATAAGTAGTTTTGGAAGTATAGGATCAAATATGTTTGAACACAAAGGGCCTTATATCTTGAAAAGGAATAAAAAAAACCGACAAAAACGAAAACGTAGCTTAAGTGAGTTCCAATAACAGTACCTTCTTGGTGATGTAACCAGCTTCGTATTATTAACCGTTCTTGTTAGTGTCGCGTGGTTTTTGGAACACTCTGTATATCTGCGAAGATAAACATTAGCGCCGCCGGTAGGGGTTCAAAGTCTATACCAAAAGTCGTTGTTCTAGGTTGAGCCGTTATTGAGCTGGAGCGCCAACAGACCGACATGTCTGTCTGTCGGTCTGTAGAGCGCCGACAGATCGACGGAATTGAGAAAACATGATTTTCGTAATCTAGAGACCTGAAAACGTATAAATGTGAAAAAATCCTGAGGTAGGCCAGGGCAGATAAATTTTTTCGTAACATAAAATGTAACAGCAGACTATCGATGCAGTATTGTTAAGGATCATTTATAGATGCTAAAAACCAAAAATGCAACATCTAATTACTTTTAGGGGATTTTATAAACAATATTTAGTGCAAAAATAGGGCTTTTTTTTGTTTATTTCACTGTATTTCGAAAACTAATGATCGGATGGTTTTGCTACTATGGCAATAGTTTTAGAGCATTGAACAAGCTTTAAAATGAGCCATCATACAACCCTGTAGGTCTTTTACTCTTCGAGAAATTATTTTTTTCCCCCCAAAAAAGAGATTTGCGTAAAAAATTCCTTAATTTTTTAATTTTCATGCTAGACAATTAATTTTTTACACATACATAGTAGATGAGGCAGGCTGTATTGAGCCCAAATTTGGGCCCGGTCCGATGGGTCGTTTCGGCATAATACCCTTGTCAAGCAAAATGGGGATGTTTCTAAAGCAGTCTGTCGAATTGAGGATAATTTTTTTATATTTATTTTGAAAAGTCCACTGATAAGTCGAAATGCCAAACTACCTATCCTCTATCTCAGATTTTCCATTTAATTTTTTTATCGCAAGTAAAACGGCTCCAAACATCACAAGCTTGTTCAATGCTCTAAAACTATTACCACAGTAGCAAAACCATCCGATTCTTAGTTTTCGAAATACAGTGAAATAAACAAAAGAAAAGCCCTGTTTTTGCACTAAATATTCTTTATAAAATCCCCTAAAAGTAATAAGATGTTGCATTTTTGGTTTTTAGCATCTATAAATGATCCTTAACAATATTGCATCGATAAAGAATGAAGGCTTTCACGGCCGGTCAAATCTAGCAAAAAAGTTTTTTTCCGGGCTATAATGCCGTGGTCCATTAGTATTTCTACCTAACGTTTCGTCTACTGCTGCGGTAGACATCTTCAGAGGCGGTGTGGTAGAGGACGAAGTGTTCTCTTCCGTGTTTCTCCGATGACCGAATCCGACGTTGAGGGAACTGCGTTATTTATATCCAGGTTTGTGGGCGTGGCTTGGATTACGGTATTTTCCTTGTCTCGTTCTCGGAAAGGAAGGGTCTTTGTTTTTCGGAGAACTGGCAACCAGCTTTTATTGAGGTTCATGCCCTCTTCTTTTCTGTTGAAGTTGTTGTGGTGTTTCTGTATCTCTATGGCTTCTCTGTGGAGCCTGGTGTAGAAATGTTTGGTTCTATCCAATGTTTGAGTCTGGTCGAAACGAATGACATGGTTTGTTTGTGTAAGCACGTGTTCGGCGATTGCTGATCTATCTATTTGTCCTTGCTGACAGTTTCTTTTGTGCTCTTTGACCCTAGTGTTGATAGAGCGTTTGGTTGTTCCTACATAGACAGATCCACAAGAGCAGGGAATTCTATAGACGCCAGCCGATTCAAGAGGTGCCCTAGGATCCTTGGCCGATCTTAGACTTTGCTGAATTGTTCTTGTGGTCTTGTAGATAGGCTTAACGTTGTGTCTTTCTAGCGTTCGTCCTATGCGATCTGTGACATTTTTGATATAGGGAAGAAAGGCTCTCCCTGCCACCTGTGCTGGTAACAACATCACTTTCGACCCGTGGGCCGAAAGTAAAAGTCAAAAAATACAATAAATTTCAAAAAATTCATTTACTTTCAGCCCACGGGTCGAAAGTAAAAGTCAAAAAAGTGACATTTTCGAACTTTTTAAAAGTCAGTAAAGTCAACATTACATGTATGATTGTAAATAATAGTATATTATATACCTAGGTAGAGAAGTTGGTCATTATATACCGAAAGCTTTTATAAACCGTGGCGCGCAGCGCCGAGGTTTATAATGCTTGAGGTATATAATGACTTTCTCTACCGAGGAATATATAGAATTTTTTTTACTACTGCTAGTAGAAAATAAAAAATTTGTTTAAAATCTGTGTTCTAATTATTTTTTGTGAACGCCTTCTTGATAGTGCTGCCCTCTATCAACAGCTTATAGAACTTGCTATGTACCTACAGAAACCTGTTTTTTTTTTCAAATTGACGTATGAAATTGAAATGGAACCAATAGAAACATGACAATATCCTTGCGTCATGACGTCATTTTCATTATTGACCTAGGTATTTTTTCATTATTTTCATTATTAACCTAGGGAGAGAAATTCAATTTTTTCTTAGAAAAATAGATTGAATAATGTCTATTTCTCAGGTTAGTAGTAAAAAAAAGTATATATTATGATGTACAATTAACTAAGACGAGTATGTTTATGTTTTTTAATGTTAATTCTCTTCTTAACACTGATTGTTTTAATTATCATAGAAATGGTATGCATATGCGACATCCTGCAAAACTTAAAATATGTGACTATCTAAAGGATTTTATTTAAAAAAAAAAAATCTAACAGAGAACAAAACGATGTTACGATAGCGCCTTCCAATATTTCAAATGAAAATATTTTTTTAGGGATGTAAAAAACTCCGTTTTGCTTTTAAATTCTCAAAGCCTGCTTGCTAAATTTGAAGAAATATCAAGGACTATTTTTAGTTCGAAACCGTTAGCAGTTTGTTTGACAGAAACTAGAATAATAGCTGATATTAGGAATAACGAGATATTTATTAGTGGTTACCAAATTGTTAGATGTGATAGTCACAGCAGACACACAGGAGGTGTTTTATTCTATGTCAGAAATGATATCCAGATTTTCAAAAAGGAGGTGTTTGTGCTAGGTAAAAATTATTGGCTGTCACGTATTGACATATCAATCCAAAAAAAAGTACTATACTCTTGTAGGTATTTATCATTCTCCAAGTAGTAGTGACGCAGAATTCTTAGATAGTTTCAATACCTGGTGTCTCCAAAGTTCTAACTTCTCTAAGCATACAATC